TAAAGATTAGGTTTAAATATATCTACTGTATCTGTTAAAATATCAGATGGACAGTGAAGGAATTAAGTAATTTAAATAATATAATTATTTATTTATTTATAATTAAATAAATAAGAATAAAGATTTTATTATTAGAACTATTTCATTTAATTAGAACTTCCACTATAATGCAGGTAACAGTATGGGGGGGGGGGAAATCTGAAGACTTAGTTTGAGTAGGTTTTTAAAGGAGGGTGTGTTTGAATGAAACATTTAATATATTTCACCGACTAAATCTATTTAATGCATAGAGCATGGATTGATTAATGGCTGTTGGCCATGAAAGCAGAACTTCACGTTCAGAAGCGTTGTGCCGCTGAAAACAAGTTGCTGTAATAAAAAACAATTAGGGGAATGCTGTTTTGATGCCATGCTTCTGGGAAGTATCTGAGTCAAGAGACCTTTGTTTTTATCAAACAGAACTCTTCTTATGTTCTTAATTAACACTACTTCCATGTGTTTAGTTCATAATTTTTAACAATACTTTATAACATATTTTGCTTGCTGCTTATGTTAGGTTATAATGTGCTGAACTATAGCTGCTGCATGTGTGAAGCCGATTTTAATATTTATTCACTCAGCAGGAAGAACACATGCTGTGGTTTCTTAATGTACACTTTAACCACTGTACTGTTGAGTGCTGTATACTAGCAGTAATAATTAATAGTGAATCCCTTCATGCTATTATTGCTCAGGACCTTTTTTGTGGTTTCAGGGTTCTAGTCACCTTGATTATACATTCCCTTGCTTTGAAACTTTCATTCTTTAGACGCTGCAAAAATGATATTGCCGAATGAAACCCAGCACTAAGGCCAGCTTTGTGGTGTGGTTTCTGAAGGCTTAGCACTTCGCTGGGTCTCTAAGGACCATCACCAATAAATGTGAAAAAGACCAACAATAGATTGGCATACGTTTCCATTTCCACTAGGATAGAGGAAGAAATGCACTAAATTAAGTCTAACCTTAAATGTATAATCTGTCCTTGGGAAGCAGGAAAAAAAAGTGGGATATAGCATCTTCGAGCTCTCAGCATCCCTTATGAGAAAAAAAATGGTTCTAAGGGTCTCTGATCTTGTGTTTTAGTAAAATAGAACTGCACGGCTGACTGACAGTTCTGATCTAAAGCATTTACATTTAAGTTTTGATCTCTCTGCTTTTGATTAAAACTAATGAGCTCATTTAATTCAAAATGGGAATCTCTGATAAGAGAAATAAGGTTGATGTGATTGGATTAGAGGGGCAAATTAAACTCTTAGAGCAGAAGTTTGTGCTTATATAGTGTATTAAAAAGCTGTTGGCGTATTATGGCGTGTTAGATGATGAGAAAAATTTCATAGTAATTCATATTTAATCAGAAGAAATGAAAGTACTAAATATAACATGGCTCTGCTTTTCCCTCGAGTGATAAAGAGCTGTACATTTAAAATGACATGGAATTCATGCTCTCTTTAAAAAACAGTCTTGAGAGACACACTGAAGAAAAAAAGCATTATTGTCAGCGGGCTAATCACAACAGAGTTGAAATCCAAAGTAAAAAGGGCTATAGGAGAGCAAATATATGCAAGTTAATATCAACAGCCTAACCCTTTTCAAATAAAGGGGGGGGGGAACCTTGGTTGATAAAAGCAAGAGTCTTTAAATTTGATGAAAACTGCTTGACTAGTGTCCTTTAAACTGCTTAAACTGAAATCTTTTCTTGCCAATATATTCTTAGGGGTTTGCTTTCCAATTAAATGTCTTGCACAACAAAAGTGTGCTTGCATTTGATAGGAAAATAAAAGCACTCAAGTACGTGACCTTTTTACTCATGTTCAGGTGGACGAATGTTACAATTATCTCTCCCCTACTCTCAGATAAAAGCCAGCTCCTATTTGACGGAAAGAGCAAGGGGAGAGGCAGACTTCCAATTGAAGCTAGAAAACAACAATTTATTGTTTGAAAATTGTCCATAACATTTGGACTGGTGGTTTCCGTGGGGGCATTGAGGAAGGCCACGTTGAATTGACAAAACTTGTGGGATAGTCTCAGAAAAATAAATAGGCTCTTTTTCTAATATCAGTTTGTTTTTTCAAATTTTTTCTGCTGTAGAGTTTTGCTTGCAGGGTATTAAGAGAAGGCTGTGCGTTGTCATCCAAAACAGTTTGTCTTTTCCCTATTTCTATCATGAGCATGTTGAAAGAGAGATTTTTCATTTGCTTATTATTTATGCCTATAGCTTCTACGCTGCTCAATTCCCAGAAAGACCCTTCACTTCTTTCATTTGGCCCTAAGTCAGCTCAATAGATACACCTATGAAATTCAGAAGAGCTGTCTAAAGGTTATATTATCAATACATTATTTTGTTATTTCTGTTTTAGTGGAATCTACAAGCCCAAGCCTACTTACAACTGACAACAATCTAGAGCGTTCTTTTTTCATTCGGATGAAATCTACATTGACCAAGCGAGGTGTACACATAAAATCTTCAGGATATAAGGTAAATTTTTGTTTTATCTCCCTAAATATCATTAGAATTTCTCCATCCTTTGAAAAGAAATATTGTAAATTGTAGCATATCCCAGATTCTCCTCTCCAGAGCTTTATAACATTTGAGTCTGGGCCGTTTTACAAAGAGTGCACAATTTGAGAAAATGAAAGATATAAATGACATTTTTAAAGTATATCCATCAGGTATCATAGCAAAGTTAAAAAAAAAAAAATCAGCAGCTTTCTTTAGTGTCACAGACTATCTGGGACAGTCCTTAAAATTTTTTCATGTAGAACGAAATAATTAAAAGCCTCATTTAACACAACAGGAAGCTACTTCTTAGGAAGCATAGGACTACATGGATTTAATGGGAAGGAATGCTGTATGACTAGGAGTTTACAACTATTTTTCTATCATTGCCAATAAATTGGAGAAAACATTTTATATCAAAAATTGTTCTCACTAGAAGAATTTTAATTTTTCTTAATGTACATATGATCCTAAATAATCTATGAACAAGGGTGACTTTGAGCATTTGGAAATTCTCATTATGATTACTGATCAACATTCATTTTTTTCAACATTAGTCACTGATGATGTGATCACTGGAGATGGTTTTTCTTTATTTTTCTTGCTTTAACTTCCTTTGTGATTAATAACCCCAAATTTCAGTTTCAGTCCTTACACTTAATTTCCTGTTTGTTCTGCTTCTATCCTGCTTTCTCTTGTTTTATGAGAGATAAAGGAGATTGGCCAGTATACTCAGAATACAGTGTTTCTGTTGCACACCACCCAGACTCACATTGTTTGAATTGAGTAGCCCTATAAATCAGTTGAATATATAAATAAATAAATGCTCCTTTTCATGCTTTACACGGCCATCTAATACCTGTTTAAATCCAAAGGTGGATTTTCTTTTTTTTTCCAAATAATTTTATTAAGAATTACAAATAGAAAGAATAAAAACTAATACAAACTACAATAAATGTAGAAATACAAAAAGAAAAATACAAAAAAGGAAAAAAGTTTAGAAAAGAAAAAGAAAAAAAGAAGTAACTGCCCCCTTCATCCCAGCAAGTAAAAACAATTTTAATAGCTTATCACCATCTCTTAATATAACATTTATTCTCATCCCATAACTCATCTTTTAACTAAAAAAAAACAAAATCTGAAAGCCTTGTCATTCATTCTTTGTCAGCAAGTCCAGCAAGAGGAACCAGATATAATAATTTTCTGTTTTAACCTTGATCGACTAAGGCAGCCCTGTAGTCCTTCTCTGGATTTTTAACAATCTTAATTTTTAACCTTTTCAAATATCATCACAGAGCTTGTTTTCTGTTCATCTTTTTTCTGACTCAAGAATCTTTCCAAACTTTAACAGACCTCTTTTGTACATCCAGTAAGTAAAGTTTGTCCTTTTTTTTTTTTTTAATCACTTCTCATAAAGTCCTTCAAGACTTTAACAGACCTCTTTTGAAGCTCCAATAAGAAAAAGTTATCCAAATCACTTTTCTGGTTTAATAATTGTACATCTCCTTTAGACAATGAAACATTCATCAGTTTTGTTTGTGTATCCAGTACGTCCTTCTCCATGTCCTTCTCATTGCTTGACACATTTAAGTCCATATTCAAATTGATTTCAAAATCATCCATTGCAGCTTGTTCTTCTTCTGTAACTTCAGTGACATACAATCTATATATCATATCAGGTAATTTTGAAGACCAGTATTCAAAACATTCATTAAGGTGTTAAGCTCCATTCTTTATTTCTTTGTTAATGAAATAAATTTATTATCCTCTAGCTCCCTCTAGTGTCAAACCTTCAAGGTCCCATTATCATGTTTCCTCTTAAAGCCCAAACAATGACCATTTCCCACAGGAAGAATTCTTCTAATTAATTCAAAACTGTAATTCCAAGTCCATCTGGATCCTTAATCCATTGTTAACTTTCCAAAATCCACGTTCTAAGCACCCTTTTGCTGTTTAATCCAAAAAACAATATTTTTCCAAAACTTTTAAAATCATATTTAAAAACATCTTTCTCCAAGGAGAAGGCAACTCACCCAATGAATACAGTAAAATCTTGCTGATCTGAAGGGTCTTAATATTTCCAGTATAGTAAAAAAAAAAAATCCAAAAAGTGATTAAGAAATGAGGCTCAGTTGAGCGTAAAAGGCTACATTACAAGTATGAGCTTGATGGTGTCCCTCAACTCCCAGCCACTCAGCTCATAAGCTGACTGCAAAACAACAGTTCCTGCATTCTACTCATGAGGACCAGCTATCTGGAAGTCATGTGGGATATCTCAACAATCTCTCCTTCCTCCGGAGAGGTTTTGCTGGTCCAGATCCAGCATCCAGCCGCGATTCTCCTCGTAAATGCAGTCCCACTGGTAGCAGGACATCAGCTCACCATGGCACTCAACAGAAGGTCAATTTTCAATATTCTGTTGTTATTTTTGTTGTTGCTTTGGTTATGTTGCAGACCACTGAGGTCTAAAACAACCAGCCCTCTCAAAGTTGTTTAGGAGCAACCATAGAAATGTCCAGACTTTGAATAATAGAATCTGAAATGGCTTACTATTATCCTGGATGCATTTCAGATAAGAGCAAGTTCAAAACCAATGTTCTGTGCCGGGATCTTGAGATTATAAAGAACACAAATTCCTCCTCTGGTTACAGCTTGTGTTCATTTCTATTAGACATGAGAAACTTGATTTAGTCTTGGGTGGAGATGATAGAATAAGTCTCATAAAAAAGGTTCTACCACTACCCTTTCTATTATGCATAATGTGTGCAGTGATAATACTGAGAACAACCTTCCAGATTGTGAGCATACACTTCAGCTTTTATCGGCCCTTTGAGGTGGACCAGGTCACCACAAGGGCTGCAGAAATTTACCTTATTGTTATAGAGTAAACTATCTTGAAAGTCTGCCAGTTTCCTTCTGCTCCTTCTTATAAGAGGGGAATCAAGAATCAAGTTGGAGTTATTTTGAGCCCCTTTCTCATGCCCCTCCTTTCCCAACATTGAGCAGTTACTTGCTTTTTCTTAATGGCCCTCCTAATGACTCTTACATCCTTTTGTCAAGGCTGTCTTTGCACTCTTCTATACATTTGGGGTTGATTCTCCATTGTGCAAATAAAGGAAAGCAAATAAGTTATTGCAAAATAAAAAATATAAGGAAAAATCTGTTAATACAGAAAATATATGCACAATGTTAGAAAAATAAGATTTCTCAGTTTTAGAAATTTTTTAAGACAGTGTCTTCTGTGAAGAAGAAACATCTCAGTTAGATATTTCCAGGAAAACTAAGTTTTTGCTCTGGAATACCTGATATAAATGTAAATAAAACTTTTGAATATTTTTAAAGAAATTATTTTTTTAAAAAAAGGATTCAATGCTTTAGTTCTAATACTGAATGCTTTATGCTTTCATGTGGTGCAAAACATGCAATATAGTGTCATTTCTTGTAAGGCAAACTCTAAGCTGCATAGTTAAATATTTAATCACTCCATACAAATTCAGATAAGAGAGTTTATGTCTTGTCAGTGATAGTAGATTATTTTTTTGCAGAGCTGCATAGGACTTAGAGCAGTTTACAGGGAATAGAGAGAAACTTTCCAAAATGACAACATCAAGTTAATATGGGACAAAAAGTTTGAAAAAGACTTGAATGTTTGAGTAGAATAGTAGTTAAGGACTAGGACCAGGGAGACCCTGTTTCAGGTCTACTGTTTGTCATGGAAGCTCATTGTGTGCCTGGGCAAAAGATTTTCTCAGCCCAACCTGCCTCAGTGATACACTCCACCTTGAGCTCCTGAAGGAATAGCAAGAAATAAATCTAATAAATAAATAAGAATGAATCTTTCACAACTTGAACTATTGTTGACTGTGTAATAAACACTTGATCCAGAATTTCAGCCCACACTAAAATCTCTCTCTGGAGTGACCAAAGAAATTGTTTGACTACTAACCCTTTCGAGGAATTGAGCAAACATGTATCTTGGCTATTATATTCTCAACATCAACTTACCTGTAACCTCAGGCATTTCTAAGGGAACATTATTGCGAGTGAAATTAGTTACAGTGATGCAGAGATTGTGCTGGCGTTCAGGTGGGAATAGAAAATGTCTTGCAAAGTTTAGTCTTTATGAAGGCAGCCTTTTGGGAAAAACTAAGGAGACTTGACTTTAACACATTTATCTATAATATAAAAGGTCTCGATATAATATCCATAATATAAAAGGTCTAAATATATAGATCTTCACTGAAGTTTGTAAAAAGTAAAGCCTCCTTAATTTTTCCCAAGTGCCATGTGATTATTATTCATTTATGTTATCAAGAGGTTGACTTTCTTTTAGTCAGAATGTGAAGAATTCGGTTTGTAAGAACTTTTCATTTGTAGAATCCAAAACGTATTTGAAGGAATCACAGAAATGTGAATAGTTAAACTTCATCTTTACCTCCTTAATAGCCATTTTTAATCATAGCATCTAAGCACAGCATATTATATTGGGGAAAAAACATTTTAATGTAATAAGCTGAGTAAAAAGCAGTGTGCAAACATTAAATTACAGGCATACAGCCAAAGTGTTTTTAATGAAGACTGAAAATTGATGAATGTATTTCCTCTAATCAACCTCCTTGCACTAAAATAATCTTGAAGTAGGTATAAGCTCAAAAAATGGAAAAATGTTTAAATCTCCAATAATGTTTTCACAAAAGACTCTGTACACGCCCAGTTTAATGCTGTTATTGCTATTCTCCCAAGATTACATCACAGTATGGTCTGGGAGAAAGGTTTCTATGGAATGAGATAATTACTGTTCTCCTGAAAACTTTAATCAGTCAGTCAATTAATCAATCAATTGATAAGCCAATCAATCAGTTTAATCAAATCACTCTCTTGCTATTGCACTGAGAATGCGTATGAATTGCATTACTCAGCTGGCAAGAAAATCATAATACCATGTCATGGAAAGTGAGATATAAGTTGAAGGCCTATTA